CCTTGTGGCTCCTTGGGTCCTGAGGCAGTGGCTGATGACAGGCAAGGACCAGTGGCCCAAACCCCTCTGTGCGTCTCAGCGCAAGCCAGGGTGCGGATGTTGGGTGTACCCTAGCCTGCAAGACTCTTGTCTGACGGCCACAGACAGTTTCTTTCCTGTGCCGCATGCCACATGGCCATACGCCCGGCATCCGTGGCTCCTGATGCTACGCAGAAGTGAGAGCTTCTGTCTGGTGGGAGTCTGTCTGGGTGGATCCAGCAGCATCTCCAGGTCATCCTCGCCTCTGCTCAGGTCACCCCCATGCAAGGGAAGAGCCCGGTCGGGGGCTGCAGGATGTGGGGGCTGGGCTGGGGTGGCAGGCACAGGTGCAGGGCAAGCTCTGCTTTCAGGGCGGTGGTGCCAGCTCGTCTTTAACACAGGGCTTCCCGGGAAGTTCTAGCTAGTTGAGTATCAAGCATTTCTAAAGAACCCCCTGAAGGAATGTTTTCCCTTTGTGCAAACAGTCCTTTTGTGTCAAGGGTGTTGTGTGGCGTCTTGGCAAGAGACGCAGGTGGGAAACACCTGACTGAACATCACTCAGTCAGGGGTGTGAAGACACGCAGCGCACGTCAGCACAGCGCCAGGCTGTGCCCTGCACCCACGCTGGCGCGCACGCCTGTCTCTGCGGCAGCTGGCAGGGCACCGCACCTCCACCCACGGGAGCTGCTGTGTGCAATGCCTGGGCCCAGGTGGTCCCATCTCACCCCTTCTCGGGTACAGGGTGCTCAGGGAAGATGTGGATTCCCCACAGCCAAGAACTGCTTCCTGGAGTCACCCGCGGGCCACCTCCTGTGTCTGACAGGGACCTTCTGGCAGTGGGGCTGGGGGGACAAGATGGTGGGACCCTCCCAGGCACGGTGTTGCTTGGGCAGGCGGAAGATGGACAGAAGGCTGGGGTGGCAGGGCCTCCCCGAGGATGGAGGTCTGGCTGCAGCCCTGATCGTGTGGGGATTGGAGGGGTCCTTGGACAACACCATCCGTCCTTACCCCTTCAAGAGACTTCAGAGCCTACAAAGCAGGAAAGTCACTGCAAAGGATGCCAGGCACAGCTGAGCCTGAGGTCTCAGGCTCAACCCTGGATTCTGTCAACCACCAGAGGGCCTAAGAGGGGCCACTGCCGACCCCCACTACAGCCTTGGGACCGCGAGCAGAGGCCCTGGATGCACTGACTGAGGGCGGCCGGCAGATGCAGCCAGCAGAGCGGGCAGCCTGCATGAGGAGCCAATAGGCTCTCTTGGGCTCTGGGTGCCTTGGAGCCTCTTCTCGATGAGTGAGAAGATGGGGACAAGTCAGATGCTGAGGCCACAGAGAGCCAGGCTTGTCCCTGGGCATTGGCTGGTGTGGCTCCCTACTCTCACCGGTTCGCAGGAAGTGCCAATGGCTGGGAAGTGTTTTCGGGGGGAGAACAGCTTCTGAAGGGAACAGCAGTGAAGTTCTGGAGAAAGTGGCTCAGCTCAGAGCGGAATCAGCCAGGAGAGGGCCGGGAGACGACTCAAAGGGCCAGAGCATTAGTCTGGCCCACGGGGGCTCTGATGGCTGGCACCAAGTGGGGTCCCCACATGGCACCGTGGGCGTGACCCCAGCCTCTCAGAAGACACAGCTGCTTAAAGTGGAGAGAAAAGGCATATGGAAGTAAGGGGAAACGCTTTGGTCTGATCTCCCCATGTCCCACCAGATGCCATGAAGAGATGTGTCTGGGTGAGTGAGGACTGGGGGCCGCCAAAGGCGCCAATGTAGACAGGTGGGGTGCGGGGTCAGAGATGGCCGCACACCTCCCACCCTTGGCCTGGTCCCCAGGCTGCCCTGACTACCTCCTACTGCCAAGTGCACCCTCACTGGGATCCAGGTGAACCTCCAGGTGTGCCTGCAGGTGTGCACCTATAGGTGTGCTCGCTGGTGTGTGCCTCCAGATGTCCATCTACAGGTACATCTACAGGTGTACCTGCAGGTGTGTGCCTCCAGGTGTGCCTCCAGATGTGCATCTCCAGGTGTGTCTCCAGGTGTACACCTCCAGGTGTGTGTCTGCAGGTGTGACTCCAGGTGTGCTCCTGCAGGTGTGAACCAGGACTGGGCCTTACTAAGTCACTTCAGAATGTGACAGGCTGGTGACTGGACTCCCACAGACAGGACAAGTTTGCTTTTCATGTTAATTTGTGGGGGTGGGGGCACACCCATAGGTGCTCAGGGACTACTCCTGACTCTGCACTCAGGGATCACTCCTGGCAGAGCTTGGGGGTCCATATGGGATGCTGGGGATCGAACCCAGATCAGCCTCATGCAAGGTAAGTGCCTATACACTGCACTCTCTAGCCTCTTTATTTTAAAAATTATTTAAAAAATGTTTCCTCTTCCCTTCTCTCCTTTGGGGCATTTCTGGGGTGCTGAGGGCCACTGTGCCTTAGCAGTGCTGGGCAATGCTCTCTGGGCTGTGCTCCTTGGGTGTGTTGCTTGCCTGGGCTGCATTTCCTTCCTGAAGTTCCTTCCAGGCACCTCTGAAGCTGTGGTTCCCACATACCCGGCTCTGGAGTGGCTGGAAATTGCGATCAATGGTGCGAGGAACCAGGGGCAGTGGAGGTGCCGGAACTATGCTGGGTGCATGTGGCAGCCCTGGAATGAAATTCGTGACCTTAGCTTGCAAGGCAGGTGTTCCAAGCCCCGAGCTGCTCCTGGGGACATGAAGGCACCGTGTGAGACTCCCCTATCCTCTGCCTGAGCTGCTGTGGGCTGCTCAGAGTGCAGAGGCCTTGCCACCAAGTCATCCCTCAGCCCTCGGGGCCCTCAGCACCCCATATGCCTGATCCCGAGCTCTCGGGCCTGTGGGGGTGTTGGTGGCAGTGGCCCCGCCATGCCTGCCTCGAGCTCGTGGGCTCTATGCTGCAGCGCTCCTCCCGGGTGGGGCCTGCTCGCCTCTCTTGGCATGTCAGTGAGCATTGGTGTTGCCAGCTCAGACCACCACAGTAAAGCTGCTGCAGGCAGCTGCCTTCTCTCCTCTAGGGCACCTGCAGCCTCGGTAAGGGCAGTGCGGTGTGAGGTGAGCGTCTGCTCCCCCAGACGCCCCCAAGATGGGCGGGGAGACTGGTCGGTGCCCTCCTGGTGGAGGACATGCGCCTTGGAGAGATAGGAGTCCAGGAGCACAGCATAGATGTCCCCTGCAGGATCTCCTAGACCACCCAAGGTCACACCAAGGAGGGGCTCAGCCCTGGCACACGCAGGACAGCCCAGGGCTTCATAGAAACGAAGCAGTGTGGCCCAAACAGCCTCTCGTGCTGGGGTCCCAGTAGGCCTGGCGCTGATAACCCACTGGCATCCCGAATCCTCTGCTGCAGACTCAGCGGGTAGAGCCAGCTGACACCTGGGCACCCTGGCTCTGGGGCAGTCCTAGGCACTGGTTTCCAGCATAGCTGGATCTACTGCAGTCTCGGACCTCGGCAGAGGGAACAGACGGCACTGGTCCTTCCACATGACACCCACAGGTCCTAGGGCACCACACAGCCCGAGGGACCGCAGGAGAGGGTCAGGTACACAGCGGGGCCTGCCCCCTCCAGTCCAGGCACCCGGGCTCTCCCTGGCCCGGGCCCAGTGGGTTCACAGACCAGGTCTTCTCTGCCTGCAGGGGTACGGCATGGGCCAGCTCTGCACCAGTCTGGTGTCCAGGGCCCTCCAGTTAGATGCCGTCCCCTCCACCCCCACCCTCCACCGGGCCCACCAAGGTCCCACACCCACCCTTTCGATGCAGTTAAATATGGCCACAAGGGGCTTCACCCTAGGGCCCCAAGGGCCCACTGCATGTAGAAGTCCCAGCAACGTGCTGCTACTGGGCTTTTCCACCTGCAGAGAAGCATGACCAGAGTTCAAGGAGGTGGGCTGCCCTGCGCATGCTCTCCTGTTTAGGGAACTGTCCTTGGACCCTCCAGAGCCTCCCACATCCCCTCAGCCCTTACCCTTTGCTACCCCTGGGTTCCAGCGTGTGGCCTTCCCTTGGCTTTTCTGCCTTTGGCCTTGAATTTCAACCAGCCGGGTCCCAGAGCCTTTCCTAAGCACCTTCTCGCACCACCTGAGTGAGGCCCACCCTGGTGGCTCCACCCGGCACCCGCCCCATGGTGCTCTCCAGACTGCTCTGCTCGGCGCCTCACCACACAGGTCAAGCCCGGGGCTGGCTGTGCTGAGAGTCTAGTGGTCAGCAGAGCAGCGTGAGGGAGGCCCAGGCAGGACGAAGGGCTTCCTCTGGCAAAGCAGGCAAGACATGGGGGTCAGGGCCCCATCTTCAGTGGGGTCTACTTTCAGCCCCCCTGAACCCCAAACACTCTAGGGCCCTACTCCTTCCTATCTCACTCCACTTCTGTTTTGTTTTGGGGCCATACCAGATGGTGCCCGGGACTTACTCTTGGCTCTATGCTTGGGCATCACTCCTGCTCAGGGGACTGTATGGGGTGCTGGGAACTGAGTCTGGGTCAGCCACGAGCCAGGCAACTGCCTGACCCGCTGTACTGTCGCTCCAGCCCCTGATAACCTCCACTTTAAGTGAGGAAGCCCAGGCTGCAGGCGAGCGACGCACTCACGGGAAGACTGCGTGTGTGCTGGGCGGTGCCCGGCCGTTGGGGAGGCCGAGCTCCTCTGACCTGGCACTGCTTTTGCCCACAGGTCGCCCTGGCCACAACTGCCTGCCCAGCCACCCATGACTAGCTCTCTGCAAATGGCCCTCCTCTCCTTCTCCTCCTCTTCAGAATTTGGGCTATTTTTCCTGTCCCTGGCTTGGTTGTGTGTGTGAGGACCCCTCTCCTGAGGGAGGAGCTGATGGTGTGGGCAGGCCCAGGGCTGGGGAGAAGGGCATACCTGGTGTCCCCTGTGGGGTGGGGGTACCTGTGCCATCCAGGGCAGGACGTGGGGGACAGCTCTTGGCTTGGACCAAGAGGGATGCAATGGGGCCTCCTTGGACAACTCCAACCTTGAGCCTGTGGGTTTGCGAGTAAAAATTTATTGTCCAGAAACCCCAGCTCGGCCCCTGACCGGGACTGCAGGTGCCCATGCGTCGGCTCAGCTGTCCTTAATAAACGGTCACTGTCCTGCAGCTGTGTCATTTCTACAAAAGCAAACAGCCCTCAGAGGGTGAGCGGTCCAGTGATGTGAATCGGGTTTGTCAGGTGTCCTCAGGTGTCTGCCCAGCACCCGTCCTTCGAGTCCGCAGGGGCTGGCCAATCACGTGCGTGAGTAGAGTGACCAGACACTGATGCGCTGGTCCCCAGAGCCCGCGGCCAGCAAGCCATCATCCGCGAAGGCCACACAGTGGACGGTCGCACTGTGGAAGGTCAGCACAGCCAGGGGCTTCATTGTGCTCCAGCGAAAGACGCGGATGCGATGGTCCCAGCCCGCAGTGGCCAGGATCTTACGGTCCGGCCGGATCTTGACGTCGGCGATGCCAGGGTTGGTGATCTGCTGTGTTCGGCACACCTATGGGTGGAGAGCAGCAGAGAACACTGTCAGTGTCCCCCCGAGATGAGTCAGGGGACAGGAATGCAGCGGGGGACCACAGCCCTTGGAACCCCCAACGAGGAAGAGCCTGGCCCCTGGCCTCAGGGGACCCCTCAGTTCCACAAGGACTCCGGCTAGCACACAGGCCTGCTCTGGTTCCCTCCTGTGAAGTCACAAGGAACAACCTAGGGGCCCTTCACTGAGAAACATCAGGCGCCCTAGGGCCCAGGCGAGAGATGACACTGTCAGTCTGACACAGCATAAAGCCAGCAGCCCACACTCCCGAGAAACTTCACAGTGCCCCCAGTTCCAGGGAGGAGGAGAACGCGAAGCCTGCCTTCAGCAGAAGTGAGACCTGCAGGTTGTGGAGGGGCTGCGTGGGGTATAGCCCTGAGGGTAACCACAGGAGAAAAGGACAAGCCACAGGCTTTGGTCTGGAGCAAAGAAGGAGCAGGGCACTAGCAGGAATGGGAAGGAGGCACCAGCCCTTGGGGTCATGGTCAATCTGGGACAGACAGGACTGTGGTGTGCAGTGAGCGGCAGCTGGCGTCTCCATCCCCATACCCTAGTGGCAGAAGTATTTTGCTGTCACTGTGATAATCCCAAACAGCCCCATGCCCCACAGGTCACCTCTGTCATCCATTATGTACCCCCGGCTCTACTATATCATGTCCTAATGGGGCTGAGGGACCTCGGCTGAAAGCCTCTCTTTCCTCTGTTTTGATTTTGCACTATTTTTGTTTGCTTTCTCTGTGCTCAGGGATCACTCCTGGCAGGGCTTGAGGGATCATATGGTATACTGGCAAGAATCCTACCCACTGTCCCACCTCTCCAGCCCCTGAAAATCATTTTCCTACAGAGAGAACACAAGGGAAGAGGAGGAAAGCAGAAGATGAAGAAGAAAAAAATGGCAATAATGATCAGAAACAAACGTCATCACTGCATTTCTATCATAAATGAAGCAACTACTTCTACCAAACAAGAAACCGTAGCAGCAAAACTGGAGGACCCGGGAATTGGCAGATTTCGAGAAAGAAGCGGGATGAAAAACACAAACATCAGGCACAAGAAAGGGCCTCCTGACAAGCATAGGAGGTGGAGGGAGGACACGTCGCATACGGGCAGAGAAATGGGAGGATGGAGCTGCAATGGGCTGGAGAGGGGAGAGGACACGCAAAAGAAGAGAAGGGGGTGCATACACTCACTGATACAGAACACCGATTTTTCTGTCTAGAAATGGAGCGCTTAGGCTCTAAACCCATCAAGACTACTGAATGGCAATGTTAAGAACAGCCTTAGTAAAGCCATTGGACTTAGTCTCCTAAAGAGCATCTTTTTTTTTTTTTGTAGTCCAGCAAGAAGTGCAAAACCCATTTGAGAGGCGCACACATTTCTGTCCGTGCCAGCAGACAGTGGGGCGATGCCGGCAGACTGCAAGGCGGGCATGGCCCAGGGATTTTATATCCAGCCAAACTGCCGCTCCAGGACAGAGACAATAGACAAGCATTTTTGAACATGTAAGAACTCAAAGCCTACGCTCCCATAAGCTCTTCTTGAAGGAAGATTAACGCCCGTCTCGCAGGAGATAGCTGGAGAACTCCAGCAAGTGGCCTGGCAGTGAGCATGGCATCTACTTACCTGTGGGGATTAGGCCTAAAACAATATGGGGATTACGACGATAGAACCGGTTGTGTAACAACAGAAGTAGGGAGGACAGCGAGGGACAGAGTGGCTGTTGGGTTCACCCATTTGCTCATCTCTTGTCACTTGCTGCCAATATACAACTGTAGATCTTAGGCTTGAGGGATTACCTGACACCCCATCAGAGAGAGAGAGAGAGAGAGAGAGAGAGAGAGAGAGAGGTCATTTTCCTTTCCCATACCCAACATCGGGTACCCTTGTTTTCTGTTTTTTTCATTTTTATTTTTTGCTTCTGGGCTCACACCCAGAAATGCTCAGGAGTTACTCCTGGCTCTGCACTCAGGAATTACTCCTGGCAGTGCTCAGGGGACCATATGGGATGCTGGGGATTGAACCCAGGTCGGCCTCGGTGCACAGGCCACTATGGTCCAAGGTCTACTGAATTATGGTGAAGGGGATGCTTCTGGGCAGAGGACGGGGTCGGGGATGCTGCCTGAGGGCCGTCCCTGCTCCAGAGGGATGGCAAAAGTGAGGGAGACAAAGTCCAGTGGGGCCTGGGGGAAGGCAGAGTTTGGCCGTCTGTCCCTGTTCCTTCCTTAGCAGAGACTGAATGAGCTTGGGCTTCCCACAGGCTTGCCCTGGACAAGCCTCCGTAGTCACCAGGGGAACAGCCAGTTACTGAGCTGCTTTACAGGCAGAAGTAAATGCGCATCGGAGCAGGATAACAGAGTCTAGAATTCCCAGAGTGTGCCACTGACAGTGTCCACTCACAACGCCAAGACACTCACAAAGAAGCAGGGATTGATGGCCCGGAATGAAGGGGAAGACAGAAACCGGTCCAGCATGATACAGATACTAGAGAGAGCAACTGGTATTTTGTTTCCTTGTTTGTTTGGGGGGTCCACCCTCAACAGTGCTCAGGGTACGGGGCGGTGCTGGGGATCAAATCTGGGCCTCCTGCGTGCACGGCATGCTCTCAGCCCACTGAGCCAGCACTCTGGCCCTGGACCGAGCAGATAAAGTCTGAAGTAGCCATTCAAAGGTAGAAACAAGGGCCAGGAGGACTGGTCCATGGTTGGAAGCCTGCCTCAAATGCCGGGGGAGAAGGCAGTTGGGATAGAGAAAGGACCACCATGACAAAGATAGTTGGAAAATCACTCTGGATAAGAACTGCGTGCTGAAAACAGTTAAAGGAACAAAAGGAACAAACATGATAACATCTCAGTACCTGTATTGCAAACCATAATGCCTATAAGGTCAGTCCAGTTTTCATAAGTGCTGCACATGTGCTTGCGAGGGAAGCGAGCCTCACTGCTTGGTGCGTGCTGTACCTGCTCGCGGCCAGGGCTGCCGGCCGCGGCTCCCTCCACATGTGCCGTGACCTGGGGGCCCGGGAGGGTGCAAGCAAAAGAGTTTGCCTTGCACACGGCCGACCCAGGATTGATCCCCGGCATCCCATAAGCCCCCCTCCCCGAGCACCTCCAGGAACAATTCCTGAGTGCGGAGTCTGGGGCAACACCTGAGCATCGCCAGGTGTGACCCAAAAAGCACCCACTCCTAAAAAAAGAAAACAAAAAAACAAAGGGCAGTTCTCAGGAAGATGACCTTTCTGAAAGTGTATGCTCCTACATTAGATTAAAAATGCAGTAAGAAAAGAAAAAAAAGTTCAGGACACTGTAGGCTTGATAGGATGCGCCTGGTGAGATGTGATTTTGCTTGCACCCTCCCGGGCCCCAGGTCACGGCACATGTGGAGGGAGCCGCGGCCGGCAGTCCCGGCCGCGAGCAGGTACGGCACGCACCAAGCGGTGAGGCTCGCTTCCCTCACAAGCACATGTGCAGCACTTATGAAAACTGGACTGGCCTCCACATTGCAGAGAGCTGATATCATTCAGGCCTCATTCTCCAACCACAAAGGAATTAAGTTTGAGATTGAAAAATAATAATAATAAAAAAAATAACGGGCAAGGGTGGGGGGAGAAATCAAACATTTGGAAAGAGAAAAACACTCTAATCAGCTCAGCAGGCAGAGAACAAATAAAACTTGGGTCCGTCTGGAAGTGAGTGATGAGACGCTGGTGACATCTCCCAATGTGGCACACAGACAGACCTCGAGGGGGCCCGGGATGGCTGGGGAACAGCGCGGCGCGAGGCGGCCACAGACCACGCTCCCGACAGGGGAGGAAGGAAGAGAGAGGCAGCGGCGGAAATGGTGAGGCAGAAGGAAGATGTTAGAGATCAACACGGCTCAGCCTAATCGGGAATCAAAAGGGAAGGACAGTTCCGCAGAGACAGCAGGAATCCAGCCCTCTCGACCAACAGCCAAGCGGGTCAGCGCGGAACTAGTTTGAAGATGCTCACTTCTGAAGATAAGCTGGTTAAAAGGTGTGAACGTCCCGCTCCCCACCAAGAAAGGCATAAATGAGCAGAAGAAACAAACGCCCCTCCCCAACAGGGCATGCACCTGGGCCAGGAACAAACTCCACTGGGCTTCCTGGAGATCAGCAGAGGAGGGGACGCCCCCCTCCTAATTCTGGGGCTCCAGGAGCCCCAAAAGCAGAGAAGGGGGCAGAGAGGTACGGCTCAGTCTACTGACGAATGCACGGCCAAGTTCCCCGAGCCCAGTCCCAGAGACAACCCACCGTGAGTCACTTTACGTGGGGATCGTGTGGCTATTTTAACATCAGCAAAAGGTCAGGTCACACGATGAACAGGCCTGAGTGGCCCAGCCTGCAAGAACCTGCCCAGCGCAGAGCCTGGCCTCGATTCCTGCCCTTTCGGGGTAGGAAAGAGACCAACCCGACCGTGAAAATCTGCCAGGACCTTGCAGAAGACACACCCACCCGCTCGCCTGGTCACCTGGAGGCACCCAGCGGCTTTGGGCCTCGGGGCCTGGCCTGGATTCCCAGCTGGTGAGCCTGCCCTCTGGCTGCCACCCTGTCCAGCCTCCTTCACCCCTGCCCCTTGCTCTCCTGGTCCAGGCTGACCCGCCCTCTGTCCTGCAGTCTCTCTCTGGGGCCCACTTACTCCAGGTGTACAAGGCCCTAGGCATGGGCATCCCCTCTGAGCTGGGGCTCCCAGAGGCAGAGGTGTACCCAGCTGTAGACCCCCCTCACTCTGCAGGGGGCCTCAGGGCGGGTGCCCTCCCATGCCGGCCCTCGCCTCCCACTCCTTCCCGCCTCGGGACCTGTGTCCACTCTGTCCTGGAGCCTCTAGCACAGCAAAATGGGGCGAAGAGGACCTCCGCACGGTCTGCCCCCCACGACCCCTTTCTCTCCTCTGAGCTCTGGCAGGGACCAGCCCCTGGACACGAAGGGTGCAGTGGGCTCGCTGGAGCTCCCCGGGTCCAGGCCCTGGATCCCACTGGAATCTCTGGCCAGTCCCCAGAAGGAAAATGCTGCCCGTAGATCTGCACTGCTGCTGTGCCCTGCAGGCCCAGGGCAAGCGGGGCAGGGCACCTGGGGTCCTCACGTGGCACCGGGAGGGTTGACATGTGTTCCTTTGCCGGCCAACCCACAGCCGCCCCTGCCCACTGGGAGGGGAGAAACACCTCACACGCAGCTCTGGGTGGCACGTGGCTGGCATCCACCTGGGCAGCAGCCCACAGGCCAGCCAGCTCTGCCCCTCCTCCCCTGGGCAATGAGAAGTGAGACAGGAAGCATCCGGGGGAGGCCATGCACACAGAGACCTGTCGGTCCCCCGCTTGTATTTCCAAGAACGAGGAGGCCTGTGAGGTCCCAGCCTGGGAGACGGATGGGAGGCCCGACCCCATTCCACCCAGGCGGGGTCTTGCCTACAGGTTGCCTGGCCTCCGGTGGGCGCCGTGGCCCTCCTCCCCCCGCCTCCCCGCCCCGGTCCGGCCACGGCTGTTTGAGAGGGAAGTTCTGGCCGGGTGGGAGGGAGGCGGGGACAGACACCTGGTTGCGGCATCCTCATGCAGCGCGGGGCGACAGTGATTGGCCCTCCCTGCGGCCCAGGCTGGCTGCGGAGGGGGGCACGGGTGTGTGCGCGCGTGGGGGGGGGGGTGTCTCATTATTACTTAAAGGCTTAACTATACAGCCGGCTGTAAATCAGGCCCTGCTTCAAGGCTGTGGGCCGGCCGAGAGTGGGAGGAAGCAGCAGGTCTGCACACCACCTGTGTCTGCGGACAGCTGAGGCCCGAGCCCCCGGGGGCGAGCAGGAAAGCCATGGGGGGGGGGGGGGGGGAGGAAAGTGGCCCTGAGGTGCAATGTGCCCCAATCCCTGAGCTCGGGCGGGTGGCCGGGGGCTCCTGGTCACTGCCACGACCCCTGGCCCTGCCAAGTCCGGCCCAGGATCCTCCAGGAAGGTTCCCTGGCCACCAGTGGCCCTCCCAGCGCATGACCTCAGGTGCCAGGAATGCACACGCCGTGCGGCCGCCATCTGCTTCCCATTACCCACGCTCTGCTGCAGGAACCTCATCTGCGTCTCCGCGCCCAGCACCCGCCTCGGGAGATTGATTTGGGCTCATTAGAGACCCCAGCGGCAGGCCGTGAGGTGAGGCCTGGCTGTGCCCACGTGGCCGGAGGCTGGGTGGCGGCACTTGCCGAAGCCTGCACTTCATGCCCGAGTGTGCGGGCTGGGGGTGTGGGGGGCAGCTCGCTAGCCCGCCCACTTTGATGTGCGCGGCGGTCAATGCCAACCTCAGGCCATCCACGCAGCCCTGTTCCCCTCTGCTTTAACTCGCAGCTCATTAAGGACGCCCCCCGCTTTAACTCTCTGAGCCATCAGCACAGCAAAAGTTCATCTCTGGACTGGAACATGCCCCATAAATTTCAGCTCTAAGTTCTAGCAGCTGTTCCCCAAACCAGCCAGGAGAGACCAGGAGGACAGGGTGGGGGGCAGGGGCGCCCCTCCCCTGGGGCCTGGGCGCAGGGAGGCTGGGCTGAGCCCCAGTCCTGTGGGATGGGAGGGGGATGGTCCTGGCTCCCTCGGGCTGGAGGAGCAGGGCGGAGGGGTACACAGGAGAGGCCAGGCCAGGCCTGTGGCCGGGGACCCCCAGCACTGAGCGGCCCCTGACCCACTTTCTACAGACCCCCAAAGCACCGACTTCACTCCGGCTCCTCTCGGCCCAGATTCCTGTAGAGGAGGGGGTGCTGGGACCCGACAGATCCTCCCCACTGGGAGGGCCAGTTTGACCCTCTGCTTAGGGGCCTCCCTGAGAAGGCAAGGCAGAGGGACAGACCCGGGAAGGGTTAGTCCGGAAAAGCAAAAACACACCCCCTGTCCCCAGGTGTGGCGGATGCCTCCCTCATCCGTTTCACTGGGTTCTGCAGGGCTCCCCCATGACCCAGAGGCCCCCTCAGGCCCCAGCTGCGAACCTGCCACCCTCTGCGGCTGCCAGTCGCGGTTCTGCCACAAGGCTGTGCTTCCCAGGGTGGCAGCGGCCCCCCACCATGATGCACCCGGCGCCTGCCACCACCCCCAATGTCCCCACGACCCTGTTTTCCTGCTTCCCTCCCATCTCCCTCTGGCCCACAGTGCCCACCCAGCCCACACCACCCGCCACCGGGGCTGCAGCACATGGGTGATGTCCCCTGGGTACCAGGGCACGTTCACGCCTCCTCACAACTCGCGCCTGAGGCTGGGGACTGGCTGCATGTCTGTGGTGGGAAGCCGAGACCACCACAACCTGTACCCCAGGAGAGTCACCTCTTGGCCACTCAGCTTTCCCGAGACCCCAAGGTCCCGGCTCTGGCTTACAAGTGGCCCTTCCAAGGCTGACCAGGGTAGTCTCAGCCTTCCAGGCTCCCTGGATCGTGGGGCCTCCCCTTGCCCCTCCAGAAACCAGCAAGTATCTGGGCAACCAACCCTCTAGGGACAGACATGTATCAGACACATCTCCACCCACAACCGTCACCCCCTGTTCCCTGTGCCAGTGTGAGGCTTATACGGGAGGGACAACGGGCATCCCCCCACCCACACCCATGGGCCCAGTGCAGATTCCGGGGTTCCGGTGCCAGCACCAGGCACACACCTGGTGTGCCCGCCAGCTGCTCCATATGCCCGCGGGGTGGGCAGGCCCCCAGCAGCACCGCAGCACCTCCCGAGGCCTTTCTGCCCAGGCCTCGGGGGCCGCCTGTTGACCGCTGCCCGGCCGTGACTGCGTGGAGTTCTCCTTGCAGCTCTTTCCTCTGATTAATCAGTTCCGAGCTGACTGAATTCCTCGGAGAGTTTGCAAACGGGCCTGCATACCCCTGGACTCTACATGCCTTTTTTCTAGATGGACAGGACGTGACTGCAGTTAACCCAGGCCTGAGCGAAACCCAAACCATGTGAACAGTTCCCAGACCCCCCCGCCCCCCCACCCCGTCTACCCGTGCAGGCCTCGCGGATGGGCCTGCCCGCAGCCGCCAGGCGTGATTGATGAGGCCGGCATGTGCGACAGCTCCTCTTCATGCCTAAATATTGTTTCAGCCTATCAGACTGTTAGTGCAGAGCAGGATGAATGGCACCTCGGCTCGGGCGCCCTGACCTGCAGTGCCTGCCGCTCGTCCACGCTCCAGACAGCCAGCGCCTTCTCCGCGGAGCCCGACACGCCCCTGGCCTGCTGGGAGTCGAAGTCGAGGCCCATGACGGGCTCGGGATGGCAGGCGAGGCGGCTGCACACCTTCCGCTGGGGGATGTCCCACAGGGCCACGGATCCGTCCTCGTAGCCGGCCAGGAGGAGCGGGCGGGGACTGGAGTCAGCCTGCGGGGAAAAGCACGCCGTCAGCATGTGAGTGGGGGCGGGGTGGAGGGGGGCTTGCTGGGGGCTCAGCTGGGGAGTTACTTCCTGAGTTCTACCACAGTCGAACCCCCCCACCACACACACACACGTACACTCCCCCCAGGAAGGGCTAACAGTGCCAGCACAGACTCTGGGGGTGCTCCCGAGCACTGAAGCGTTTGCGGAGCCCCAGAGTGGCCGTGTGCTTGTGCCACTCCTCGCCGGTGGGTCCTGCTGCCTGCTGGCCACACGCTGCAGGTCCCAGTGCTGGCCTGGCCTCCAGCCTCCCTTCCCCAAGCCACACCTTGCCAGGGACAGTCACCAGACTAGAACCACCGGGCACACTGTAAGCTCCACATCCATGAAAAATGAACTCTGGGCGCTGTCAGCGTGGCCGCAGAAGCCCCCATGCCCTGGCCCCCCCTCTGCCCCCCGTCCCTCCCAGGGGGCCTGGCGGGTGGCTGCGGCGCTGAGTGGTGTGTGCGGCTGCACCCGGCCCTAAGCCGCCGTGATGGATGGGCGCGCGGGGCAGAGGGCGCAGGGCCGCGGGCTGACACCTCGTTTATCTCGCCCCGGCTCCCCGGGAGCCCTGCAGGCTTCCATGCTAACCCGGACCCTGGGGACCGCCGGCTCTCAGCCCGCTACTGCCACTGGGAGACCGGTGGCCTCTGGGAGGGCTGGGGGACGCAATGGCGAGTGCCGTTTTGCTTTTCTTGTCCCCAGGCTGCCCCGACAATGGGACCTGCCTCTGGTTGGTGTCTCATATCAGAAGTAACTGAAAGGACTGAAGTGATAGCACAGCGGGGTAAGGCGTTTGCCTTGCATGTGGCCAACCTAGGTTCGATCCCTGGCCTCCCAAGCACCGCCAGGAGTCATTCCTGAGTGCAGAGTCAGGAGTAACCCCTGCGCATCACTGGGTGTGGCCCCGAAACAAAACAAAACGAAACAAAAAAACTAAGCACATGTTTCTCCCCAGGAAATTCTCCGCTGAGCTTTAGGGAGCTCTGAGGTCCCTCCCTACCTGGCGCCTGCCCGCAGATTCTGAAGGGGGCACGGAGGAACGAGGGCCAGCAGGGCAGTCCCCTGGGCCGTGGTCCCCAGGCAGCCCCAAAGAGGTGACTCCGCAGCCCTCGCCCGGCTGAGAAGCACTGGGACCCGCTTTAGGTGAAGGGTCCGGCACGCATCCTGAGGCCAGCGGGTACCGCTTCCTCAGAGGAGCTCGGCTGCACTTTCTCTGAGTGCCGGGGAGGGAAACTGAAACTGAAACTGAGGCGCACCTCTGCCCCCTGGTCTGACCCACCAGCGCCCACCCGCACCTGGGGCGGGGGCATGGCTGAGGGGGGTGAGGAGGCCTCCCACACTGGCCCGGCGGGGAGCGGTTCTGCGCTCTCGTGCTCTGAAGGCCACGCGTGTCGTCCACACAGAAGGAAACGGCAAAGCAGACACGGACCAGTCCGGGAGCTGGGACAGTGAGGACAGCCTCCTTCCCGCCCCTCTGGGAGCCGTGCGTGTGGCAGGAAGGGCTTCTGGCCCCTGTCCCACCATCCGATCAGAACGCCGAGTGCCGCATGTGACCGCCTCTCTCTGGGCCTCTGCAGCCAGGATCCCCAGGACTGAGCCTGCACCATGAGGAGGGGCGGCTGCGCAGAGCGCCCAGCCAGGAGGACATGCCTCCCTGCACCCAGACCCCACCCTGTGGCAGGGCCAGGCCACACCACCACCAGTAGGTGCCCATTTCCCTCGGGAAAGGGCAGTCAGGGCGCCAGGTCGCTCCCTCCTCTAGGCCCTGGTCACGTTGTCCCCAAGTCTGGGGCTCGCCCCCCTGCACATGCACTAGTCCTGTAACTCCCGGGCGCACCCAGAGCTGCAGTCTCTGGGCCCGGAGCACCCCAACCGGCTCACCCATCCACAGCCCAGACACCCGAATCCTGAGGGTCAGGCTGCTCCTGCCCCGGCACCGCCTGGCTGAGAAGCACGTGGCCCCCACTGCCCCCCGCGGCAGACACCTCACATAGGCAGCACCCCCTCCTGTGCTGTGTTCCCGGGGGCTTAGGGGCATGATGGCCTGGAGGGACTCCCGGAGGGTAGGCCCCGCTCTGCAGAGAGGCCCCCAGCTGGGGGTCGAGGCTGGCTGGGGGCCTGATGGAAGCCGCGGCGAGACCTAAGGCTTGACTGAGGGGGCAGGGTATGAATGCAGGCACCAGGGCACTAACGCACGGAACAGGACAGACCCAAGACTCCTGAGAACAAGCCCAGCCATTCCACCCTACTCAGATTAAGATGCGATAACCTGGACCTTTGGGCCTGCACAAACGAAAAGAAATACAGGGACGTTTCAAATGAACATGGACTTTTCTTCACAGTGTTGGATCCGTTTCAACTAACAAAAACACGATTTGTCCTTCTGTCAACTATATTAATTACCTTAACAAGTTTGTACATCCCACTTCTACACATTTTTCTGCTGGAATTTTTACATGATTACACAATGTCCACGTTTCCAGGGAGCAGAGCGAGCGTGGATGCTGCCGGGACACCCTGCCGCGGGCACCCCCGACACATGCACAGCATCTCCCCAGGGCCTGGGGGCCCCCTACCACACACACCGCATGACAGCCACGGGGTGTTGCCAGCCACATGTCTGCTGGCACCAGAGCTTGCCCTCCAGCTCTGGCATGTGAGCGGGCACCCTCTGCCCCGCCCCGCCCCTCCTGCTGCAGCCAGACGCTGAAGAATCAGCTCAGTGCAGACCCCAGTTCCGGCTGGACCTTCCAGGGTAACCAAAGAGGAGAAAGGGTAAGTCTGTGTGGCCCCCAGAGGCCAGCAGCACAGGGCAGGCTCCTTGGGACGGGCCATCCCAAGGGATCCTGCTGACCTCAGGAGTTGAGACAGGCTGGGCCCCTCCTCGGGGCAGACTTCAGAAAGGACCAACGCCCGCAACAGCAAAGCTGTTCCTTTCCCATGACACCCTCCACGGAACCCTGGGCCACCTGCTCTGATCCCCACCACAGGCCGTGCGGAGGAGAGGACAGCGTCTCGGGTGGACAACAGCGGAGGAGGCTGGTCCCAATGGCTCCCTCCCAGCACTGGCGCAAGAGCCCGTCGGCAGGGCCTCCGGTCTGTGTCCCTGCTCAGCCCTTCCCAGATGCCTCACAGCCCTCTCTAGCCAGGGAAGAAGGAAACAGTGTCAGATCAGCAGTGCCTGAGTGTGGCCGCAGGGAAACACACCATGCTAAGCCCACTCCTGCCTCCAAGAGGCAAAGAAGTAGCAATAATTAATCCCCAGCAGAGCAGGGGCCTGGCGGCTTGCAGGGTTGAGTCAGCACTGCCAAGTGCCAGGCCTCATTCAGAGGGGAGGGGAGGAGAGAGGGAAGAGGAAGGAGGGGAGGGGAGGAGTGGAAGAGAGAGGATAGGAGAGGGGAAAGAGGCGAGAGGAGCAGGGAGACACATGGAGAGGGAGGATGAGAAGAGGGGAGGGGTGGGAGGAGGCAGGAGAAGAGAAGAGAGGAGGGGAGGGGGCAGGAGAGAAGAGGGGAGGAGAAGAGAGGAGAGGGGCAGGAGGAGAGGAGAAAGAGGAGGGGGAATGCGAGAAAAGAGGGGAGAGGAGGGGAGGGGATGGGGGAAAGGGGCAGGAGAGGAGAGGACAGGAGAGGGGAGGGGAGAGGAGTGGAGGGGAGGGGAGAGAAGAGAGGAGAGGAGGAGGAGGAGGAGAGGGGAGGAAGGGGAGGGGGAGGGGAGGGCTGTCCCTCCTCAGGGCCAGCAGTGCAGCTGGGGGGCTGCCCCGGAGTCCTGCCCCGAAGCCTGCAGCGGGAAGGCAGCAGGGGCCGTGGGATGCAGAGGCTTCTCCGAAGGGGCGCGCTGCCCGGCTGGTGTGAGCGCTGACTGGCGAGCAGGGCATGAATCAGAGCCCAGCGGGCGTGGCGGGCAGGGCGTGGCTGGCGTGCGCTGGGCCTTACCTGCCACAGCTGCAGGCACATGGGCATGCCTGGCTTGGCATCTGCCTCCGGCTTCAGGATGCACACCGACGTCTTGGATGGCATCTCCAGAATCTGAACCTGACAGTAGGAAAACAAGTTGATTTGGGCCGGCGCCAGGTCGCGTCTGCGCTATACAAACAAGAGACTTTTAAGGCGATTAGCCAAGGCTGCTGCGAGTTTCTGTCTGCTCCCGAGAGCGTGGGGGCCGAGCCTGCTAATTAGGTGCACAGGCTCGTGGGCTCGGCGCTGCTGGGCCCTTGCGAAACGCACCGTCACTCCCGAGTGACCGTGTCCCCCGGCCGGCCGCCTCCCTCGCCTCTGCCCTCTCCCTGCTTCCCACGGACTCAGTCCCACTCCTCCACCTGATGCTTCTCCCTGACACCGGAACACGTCTCTCCGAGCTCGGGAGTATCGAATGGAACACCTGGGGACCCACCACCAAGCCCAGGGAAGGACACGCTGTGTAGGCAGGACGCGCTGAGCCCGTCGGCCCACAGCCCCTGCTCTCACCCCTGTGCTCCAGGGGCCCCAACGCCGGCCCCGCCCCCAGGCCGAGGCCCTGACTGGCCCCCACGACCAGCTCAAACCTACGCCAGTGTGCCTGAGCCAAGAACAGACTCTGCCCGGAGCTGCCCAGGGAACAGCAAAGGCCTCCGGAGCACCTGGGGCCGGAGTCCCGCAGACTGGACCTGGGCCCCAACCCCCACCTGAGCCAACACTGGGCAACTGGGGTGGCCCCTCCTGCCTGGTTCGGCCTTGCCCCCTACCTCCCCACCAGACCTGTGGGGGGCAGGGCAGCATGGAGGCCCGCTGCCCTCCTGGTCCACCAATCACACCTCAAGAGGAGCCGCTCAGAAGCTGCACGCCCTCGCCCTGGGGGCACCTGCTGGTGTGCTGACAAGCTTGTGCGACTGGCAAGGTTCAGAGCTTCGAGGCTTGGTGCTCCGACAGGAAGAGCCCAAGGAGAGCTTGAGGCCTGTGAAGGCAGCCCCCGAGCCGGCCTGAGCCCTGGAGCCCAGGCCACGTCCGGATTCTGGCACAGCCACACGTGCTGGGGGGGAGGGGGCGGCCCAGAGGACCAGTCACCCGACCCAGCCTCCAGCCAAGTCAGTCCTGCGGGGCTGGGGCTGTGCTCTGGGCAGGACTCCCGACTGACGCCTGTGCAGTGCCCAGGCCCTGGGCAAAGGCGCCCTGTTCCTGGCCACGCCTGCCAAGGAGGGGCCGGTCCCAGGAGCCCTGCAGTATGTGCATGTGTGCACACATACATGTGCATGCACACACACGTACGCACACACATATGCATGTGTGCACAAGAGCATATACACATGCTCACACACAACACATATGTACACATGTGTACATACACACATGCATGTGCACACAAGGCTTCCCGACTCGTGGGCCACAGGGCTGACATCCACAACTGCCTGCACTCTCCTAGCCCATGAAGAAGACAGACAAGAACCCTCGGGAACGGGGACAGAGCGAGAGGATAGTGGGTAGGACAGTGGCACGCAGCCAACCCAAGTTCAACCCCTGGCATCCCCTATGTTCCCTGAGACCAGCAGGAGTGATCCCTGAGCACAGAACCAGGAGTTGGCCCTGAGCACAGTCAGGTGTGGCCCTAAATTTTTTTTAAAAAAAAGACCCCTATAGAAGCGAGAGGATTCAGCACCATGAAGTCAGAGGTGGCTTCGAGGGGCGCCTGCAACTCCCAAGGCATCATCAATATGAAGTTCTAGAGGGGACACGTGACACGCGTCACATGCAGCCACCAAGCGTGCCAGGCAATTAACGCTGAATGGGCAGAGAAGGCAGAGGGGAATTTTTGGAGACTCTCTGCTTCCTGCAGTGAGTACCAGGGACTTGGCTCTGGGCTCACCCTGAGAACCCCGCGCCCCAGCCCTGACCGGGGGCCATAGAGCCTCAGCCAGCGGCGAGGCAGGGCTGAGCAGCTTCAAGGGCACAGGAGCCAGACCACAGGGCTCGGGCAGACACGCGTCCCCCTACGGTCTGTTCTGCTCGACGGCCAGATTCCAGCACACGAGCTTTGTTCTGGGTGTTCTCAAGGGAAGTGCTGCTCCCAGGTACTGCCCAGGGGAGGGGGACATGGGATGACAGCAAGCAAGGCTCCCAGTCCAGGGGCCTGGACCGCAGGGCCAAGGAGGGCCGAGCCCAGCCTTCCCACCCGAGGGTGCAGCAGGGCCTCTGTGGTGGCAAAAGCAGCCAGGACCGAGCTTGGCGAGCTGCACAGGCGACGGGAAGGAGAGGTGGCGCGGGGAGGTGAGAGCCGTGCAAGCTCCGAGCCTCCCACAGATGCTGCCATGCGCTTCCCCCTGGCAGTCAACCGCAACGCGTGTTTCCAGAAAGGAAAATGTTTGGTTCGGGCAAGCGTGGCCACCCAGATGGCCGAGCGGGGCAGGAGCATGTCGTCCTGGGGCAGGGTCTGGACACAGGCCAGCAAGGTTTTTCCAGGGCCCCGTCCAGGCACATTCCAGGTGGGAACATGGAAACGCAGCATTTTCCCAGGACGTTCAGGCTTCCTCAGTGGGCTGCTCCCCCGGTGCCCGCGCAGGGAGAACAGGGGGGCAGGAGGGGTTCAAAAGTGCTGGGGCCGGAGAGGTAGCACAGTGGGTAGGACACTTGCCTGCACCATGCAGCCGACTCAGGTTCAATCCCTGCACCCCATATGGTCCCCGGGGCTGCCAGGAGTGATCCCTGAGGACAGATGGGTGGACCCTCCCTCCGCCAAAGTGCCCTGGGCAGACAGCCCGTGGGGCGTCTGGGGGCAGGAATGGGCACCTGGACGCTGGCAGGAGACGGGCACCCCCTGCCCAGTGGCTCAGGGAGGCTTGCCCTGCTTTGCAGAAGGAAGCACACTATTATTTTCCCATTAATAAAACTTTTTAACAGGTTTTTGGGAAATTGGCAAGAGAAGTGTATGAAGGTCCTAATTGGTGATTTAGATGCAATCATGAACAAATAAATGCCTGTTCCTATCTCATTATTTTGGAACTGAATCTGCAGTGAGGCCGATGACTCTTCTTGGGCAGGGGCCAAAGCTCACTGCGTGCACAGGCCTCAGGCCCTGCCGAGCCACGCTGGCTGAGCAGGGGACCTGGGGAAGGGCAGCGGGCCCCTCCTCGGGCCCCGGAACTGCCGCCAGCCCGGAGCAGCTGAGCCTTCACTCCTGCCACTCCTCCAGCTGGGGCTCCTCACACTCTGCTCTCCCTGGAGCTCATCCGAGGGGGCGAGGGACAAGCGCCCCCAGCCCCGCTGACCTCTCTGCCCCCAGGACCAGCGCTGCCTCTTCTCTCCTGAGGCCATGGAAGCCACCGTTCGGCCTGCTCTGTGTGACAGTGACCACTGAGGCCTGGTTGCACCGACCCCCACCCACAGCCCTGTGCCCGGACATTCTCCATGTACCGCTGCCCCCTGGACTGATCTCATCAGTGCCCACCCACCTCCGGGGCTGGGGCGTGGCTCAGGGAAGTGGGGCCTGCTGGGCACAGGTGAGGACCTGGCTTTGATCCTGGTGGCCCCAAACCAACCAGAATAAAAGGCGATCCTGCCCATGTCCTCGCCTTGCCGTGGCCTCACTCCGGGGCCGGGTCCTGCTCCCCTGAGGAACCCCAGCCCCTGCGAGCCTCCACCTCCCAACACCTGTCGGCCTTGTGTGCCCACCCCAACGTCTTCTGAGTCCCTCATCCAGTGTTCTGGGGCCTTGGGCCTTGCACGTGTTCTGTGCAACACAGTGCCAGGTGCTACACCTCCCAGAGACAGTGACCCACACCTCTGGGCCTCCCTTCCCCACCACACAGGCCAGGGCTCTACCCGAGGTCCCTGGAGCTGAGATGGAGACAGGCCCAGCCTGCCCTGGGGCTCTGGGGGTTCTGGGAAGGGAGATGTGGTGGGGGTTGAGGTGGGATGGCACTCACCTCATCGCTGCCTTGCCCTGGCACGGCCAGGGTCCAGCGCTGTGGGCTGCCGGCCAGGATGGCGCTCTTGCAGAAGCCCACGCTCTCCAGGCGCACAGAGTCCACCACGGCATTCCTGCCCTCCGCCAGCTCCCACACGCACAGCCGCAGGTCCCGGCCCTGACTGCCCAAGCCGGGAGAGACGAGGCGTGAGCACCAGCGGGGACTCCTGCACTGCGGCCTCGGGCAGGGATGGGTCGGGGCCTCAGGCACAAAAGGCGTCTCAGGGGGCAGCGCGACAGTGCAGCGAGTAGGTAGGGCATTTGCTTGCACGCACCCAACCTAGATTTGATCCCTGGCATCCCATTTGGTCCCTTGTGTACCTCCAGGTGTGATTGCTAAATGCCGTTAGGAGTAACTCCTGAGTATTTCTGGGTGTGGCCCAGAAATTGGAAAAAAAAAAAAAAAGAAAGGCATCTCAGCCCAGATCTCTGGGTCTGCAGTGGAGGTGCCGCAGGCTCCATGGCACACCAGGTCTCTCACGTCTTCCTGCCACATCTCTCTCTCTGGCCAGCGAAAGGCCCAGTGGCCGTGAGCTCATACCCAGGCACAACACTTGACCCGAGGGAGCGGCTATCACAGTCCGTGCTGCCCCGGGTGGGAATCATGGATGCATTCTGCTGGGGGCTGCTGGGGGGAGCCAGATCCCAAAGGCGACGGAGGCTGCAAGGGCACATTGCTCACAGGACATCCCAGCAGAGACGTGACCCACAGTGGGGACACAAGGGTTCTGCAGGGGCTGACTGCCTCGTGTGGCACTGAGGAGGAGACAGGCCCAGGGGGTCTGTCGGGCCCACACAACTAAGTCACGAGGGGCGGATGCTATTGAATACTCATGGAAATAACAACCTCTGCCACTAAGAGTCCCTAAGTTCAACCCACATGGCATGGCCCTGGCCTTGGGGTACCCCAGCACCACTGATGCAAGCACTAAAGTTCTAGGCAATCACCATCAAGTATCTCTGGAAGTGACGGAGGCCCCCACTCAGCCCTGCGTGGAAGCATCTCCCCCTAAAAATCCACAAAAGTGGATTCCAGGCTATGCCACAGATTGTGAAAGGGAGTGGAGCCATAGTACAGCTTTGCAAGCAGCCGACCCAGGTTTGATTCCCAGCATCCTATATGGTCCCCTGAGCACCACCAGGAGTAATTCCTGAGTGCATGAACCAGGAGTAACCCCTGAGCATCACCAGGTGTGACCCAAAAAGCAAAAAAAAAAACCAAAATGAAACAAAACAGAATCACAAGTGATGACAAAGGGGCGGCAAAGTGCACTCCAGAGAGACAGCAGCCAAATGGGGTCCCTCCCAGAATCTTAGCTCCGCGCACCATGCTGGTTCTCTAAAAGGTAAGTCCAGTCAATGGGCTCAGGCCAAAGGCCACTGCTCACACGGCTCCACTTTTGCAAGTTAAGGGGCAAAAACAGACCATGTGAGTCTGCTTCTGGGAGCTGCCTGTCCCTCTTGGGAAGGGACAGAGGCTGGAGGGCTGCCCCCCAGGCCAAGAAAGGGTAGGGGTGGCCACGGGTGCTCTGCCTCCTGCCTGGGAGGGGCCACAGCTTGAGAAAACAGCAGTCCACGGCCCTGTTCTGGACACTTTTCACTAAGGAAGTCGCATCACACGAGGAAAAGTGGAGAAAACAAACTGACCAGGTGGCAGGCCCCGGGCCCAGGTGCACCTCAGCCATGGGAGGGGCTGGGTGTGTGCACGGAGGCCCCTGGACCCCAGCAGCCCCCCTCCACCCCGCCTCCCGAGCCCAGCCTGGCAGGGTCGGGCCTCCTCTGGCTGGGAAAGTGCATTTTCCCAACTCAAGGGCCACTTGGGAGATGCTTGGCTTCAAACACAGCTGCGTGCACGGCCGCTCGAGAGCATCAACGCACCTGGGCCTCGGCAGCACCTGCGCGGTGTGCGGCCACATCTGCTGACCCCGGCCTGCCTGGGGCGCGCAGCAGCTGCCCTTCGTGCCGGTTTCCCCCACCGCATGGGCCCGGGTCACCAAGGCCCCACTACCCTGGATCTGGCTTTTGAGGCTGCCAGGAGTTTCGGCAGGAGGAGAAGACCCCCCAAAGCCTACATGTTTACTGGAAATTTCGGAGGAACAAACAGCGGTTCCTGCAACCAGTAGCTCTGGCTGTACCCAGGAAGACCTGCTCACCCTCAGAGGAAGCCAAAGCTCAAAAGGCCAGTGTGGCCGGAACGGATCAAGGCCCACGAGAGCACTGCGAGGACGCCCAGCTATGGTGACCGGCCTCTGAAACCCTTGGTCCCTGGTCACCTGCAAGTCACCTCCAGGCTGCTGGGTATCTTGGGGGTTTGGCACAAAACTGCTCCGCAAACCAATGGAGCCCAAGCTGGCCTGGCCCCCTGAGAATGGGTTCCATGATGCCCACGTGGGCAGGTTCCAAGTCCAGCACAAGCCTCCTGGTCCATCTCAGGAGAGGACACTCAGCAAGGTAGCATGGTGCCTTGGCACAAGTCCGGGCTGACACTGTCTCCTGCAGGACAATGGCGCCTGCTCCGGGCCAGGTCTGTCCCTCCCCTCCTGATCCTGTCTCACACCTGCTGCTTCTGGGCCTCTCCCACCCGGGGGTCAGACCTGTTACCGCCACACAGCAGAGGCAGTGCCCACCACCAGCCCTGCAGATGATACCTCTGTCCCCCAGTGCCCTAAAGTGGTCGTGGGATGGGGGGAGGTGCAGCCCCCACCAACCTGGCGAGATCAGGCTCTGGTTCAGCATGGCGCTGGCGAGAAGCAGCCAGAAGGGCACCTGTGAGCGGCTGGAATGAGGCCCCCAGCGGAGAGCGGGGGTTTCCTCAGAGCACCCCTAGCAGGTCCCAGGTGGAGGCTGGGGAGAGCAGCATACCGGGGTCCCACACACCCTCCAGCCTGTCCTGTGGGCACCTGCTCAGGGCAGTGGGCAGGTGTGGTGGCCTCAGCCAAGAATGCCAAAAATGGCAGTTCAGCCAGACCAGTGTGTGTGTGTACATGTGCGAGAGGTGAGAAGTGAGAGTGTGTGTCTGTGTGAAACTGGAGAGTGCATGTGTGAGAGAGAGGTGGGAGTATGTGTATATGTGTGAGGTGAGAGTGTGTGTGAAGTGGGAGTGCGTGCGTGCGCGCGCGCATGTGTGGGTGTGTGTGTGTGTGCGCACGCGCGCGCGCACGCGTCTAGACAGAGACGGGGGCACGCCTCGCCCAAGGAAGACCCCCCTGTTCCTAGGGACAGGCTGCTACCAAGACCCACCTGAGAAGCTGGTGGCCAGGCGGCAGCATCTGCAGCCAGGTCACACACTGGCCCCCGTGGCCATCCAGGGTGGCGACCGCCCTCCGCGTCTGCAGGCTCCAGATGTGCACCAGCCCGTTCTGGGCCCTGCTGAGACAAGTGCAGGCAGTTCCCAGACGCGCTGTGGGTGTTGGAACCTGCTGGCAGGCGCTGCTCTTGCAGGAAGCCTGCAGCTGAGGGGCTGGCTGCTTCCCCTCCTCCTTCAGCCCACAGGGGTGGGGTGGGGGGCGCTGACTGCACACTGGGCCACCTAGAGCCAGCAATGTCCCTGCCTCCCCTCAGAGGGCAATGGTCCCTCACCAGGACCCCCAGAGGAGCCTCAGGCTCACGGCTGCCTCTCCCCGCCCCCTACCCCCAGGGCCGTCCAGGGCAGAGCTACTCACCCTGAGAGGAGCAGGGGCTGCCCCTGCCCCTGGGCCCCGGTGCAGAAATGCAGTGAGTGTACAGCAGACTGGGTGCCTCGAAGCACGAACTCAGGGTCTGGGGGTGGCGGTGAGGCTGGCATGCTGGGGTGGTCACCTGTGAACACAGGGAGGGGTGGGTGACTTACTGTCCTGCTGGAGGGCGGGGTACTGCCCCACCGCCTCCCCCCTCTCCCGTCCCACCCATCATGCAGTAGTGCTCACCTCCTCCCCCTCGTGGCAGAGGACCCCCCCCCCCAGCATGCTCCCGCTCCACGGAAGGGCACGTCAATAGGGGCTGCCCCTGCAGCCACGAGGCCTCCCCGGGCATCCTCGGTCTCCGCCCAGGGGAGCTGCCTGCCCGCCCTGGTCCTTCTGCCTGCGCCTCCCCCTTTGCACCCACACCAGCGCTGGGCACACGTCCCTGCAGAGTGAGGCGGCTGGATGGATGAACCAGTGGACAAACCAGAGGCCTGGGGTGCTGAGTGCGGGGTAGTGAGCCCAAATGAGGAGCAGCCCCCGACACACAGGTCCATGCCTGGACAGTTTTGAGTTCTAAACACCCCCCACTCCCACCCTGTGCAGAACAGACGGAAGGAGTCTGGGGGGCTCTCCCAGGAGCTCAGGGGCTCCAGGGCGTGCATGCTGACACTGCAGGGAAGTCGGGGGGCTTCCTCAGACGGCAGCCCCCTCCTCAACCCTCCCAGCCTGTGCCAAGGGTCCAACAGAGGAGAAACTTGCTAGTGTCCCCCTCGCAGTCCCACCACTGTGCCCCGCAGCGTCCCAGCATGGCGGGGGCCTTCTCTCCTGCCACCTTGGCCCCTAGGTCATAGGGGAGGCTGGCAGAGGATGACAGGGCGTCAGGGCACTACTGTCAGGAGGTGTCCCCGCTGGGCTCCAACGCCCCCACCCCCCGGGACGGCACCGCCACGAGAGGGAAGAACAGCCCGGCGAGGACGGCTGAGTCCTTGCCCAGGCCTGGAGGTGGCTCCGGGCGGAGGCAGAGGCTGACGCAGATGTGGCTGCAGGCACAGGCAGCCGCAGGCCAGGGCAGGAGCGCGTGGGGCCGCTCAGGGGTCGCCGCCTCTGCTGGCTCCTGCACCTCCTCTCCGCAGGCCTCTGGCCCACTGTCTGTCTGTCTGTCCCTCCCCCATCCCTGACCCGGAGAAGTGAGCCCAGAGAATCCTGACTGGAGCAAAAAAAAAAAAAAGGTTGACAACACCTAAGAGACGGGTCTGCGGGGTGCCGGGACGGCCCCCTGGGCTCCTGGGTGCCCGCGGAGGGCTGGTGTGATGGGCCACAGGGGGCCACCGCCGGGGCTGGGACTACACAACCAACGTGCAGGGAAGCCCCATCTCTGACTCCACCACCCCGTCCTGCCACCCCACTCTCAAGGGGCTTCAAAGAGAAAGGGGCCGGGGGGGCCCTGGGAATGCGCTTGACAAACAGACAAGTCCATGCTCGCGTGCTTCATGCTCTCTCTTTCCTTTTCAGACTTTTTAGCCTAAAAGTCCCTTTCTCCCCTTTGACTAAAAGCCAACAGGCCCTTCCCAGGGCAAGGACAGATCTTGTGGGGCGGGAGAAGATCCAAACTTGGGTGCTCCGTGGTCCTGGACAGTCGACAGGCAAACGGCCTGGCGTGACCCGAAGGCGCTGCCTGGGAGCCACGTGCCGAGGGGCCGCTCAGGGACGGTCGGGGAGCAGCTGCTGGACCCGCAGGAGCTCAGTCAGCTACCCTCTGCCCGCGGGAAGGAGGGCTTCCTGGGGAGGCGAGGGCCCGGCTTACGACACCCCAGAGTGGAGACAACCAAGCATGTCATTCCCATGGTCCTTCAGCAGAGGTGCACGCTCCAGGCTCCGAAGACAGGCTTCCCACACGCCACACAGGCAAGCCCCCACACGGGCATGCACACACCACACAGCACCCCCTCACACATGCACTCACCACAAACGCCCCCACTTACACATGCACTCACCACCACATGACGCGCCCATTCACACACGCACTCACCACACAATGCCCCCTCTCACACTGCCACTCACAACACAATACCCCCCTCACACTGACACCACACAATGCCCCCCTTCAAATATGCATACCACACAACGGCCCCGCTCACACATGCACACACCATACAACATCCCCACTCAAACACCCACTCACCACACAACACCCCTATTTACACACGGTCAACATACAACAACCCCGCTCACACATGCGGTCACCACACAGCGGCCTCACTCATGCACACAGTCACCACACAATACCCCCACTCACATGCACTCACCACACAACGCCCCCATTCACACACGCTCTTACCACACAACGCCCCCTCTCACACAGCCAGTCACCACACAATACCCTCTCACACTGACACTCACCACACAACACCCCCACTCACATGCACTCACAACACAACACCTCCACTCACTCGCAGTCACCACACAATGCTCCCACTCACGCGCACGTGTACATGCACACAAGGACCATGCAATGCCTCTACTCACACAAGCACGTGCACGCATGCGCTGATGCTCCCCCACAGCCACAGCAGGCACACGTGTGTGAGCACACACTCCGGCTACGTGTGCACATGCGCAGGCAGTGAGGTGGCCAGAGCCCGGCCCACACTTGCCACCCGCCTGCGGCCTGCTGGGAGTTTCCAGATCCTCACCAGCACCAGGCTCCCTTGGCGGTGATGAAATCAAGCTCACCTCCATTGTTTCCCCAGAACTGCAGGGAACAAACCCGTCACGTTGTTCCAACCACCGAAAACGCTCGGGCCAAAATGATGCATCTGCAATTAAGGGCTCCATCATTTCAGGCAATTAAAACAAACGCTTTATTTGAAAACTAATTAATTCTAGCTGCATATTTTTCCCATGACAATATCCTATGATTACTTGATTTATGACATCTAATTATTCTTTATTAATCTAATTGAGAGTAATCGCATTATCCTATCTTCTCTGGCAGCGGGCCGCCCCGAGCGGAGGCTGCAGCCCCTTGCGCAAGGTCGCAGCGAGGTACCCGCGCCCGCCTGCCGCCCGATTCCCGGCTCTACCACTTGTCTTTTCCTCCCAGAGGGCAAAGGAACATGAAACTTAATCCACAGAGCATAGCTTTGCATTCTGCCGCTCTTCAGGATGTCAAAGAGAGACACGTTCTTTCAGCGATGAGAGAGGAAAATGGTCTGGCACTTTGTGGCACCCTGACAGCTGTTCCAGCTGATGCTGAAGCCCCTTGCGGCCCTGCTGGCCCCCCAGCCCCCAAATCCAGATGACGATGCGGTCCCCTCAGCAGCAGCCACCCGACAGGCCTCTGGGTGCAGGCGGGCATGCTCCCAGGGCACCAGGCATTCCCACCCAGCCAAGGAAACTCCTCGTAGGCATCTCAGCAGCACATCTGCAGAGAAGCAGTAAGGCAAAGACTGGCTCCAGCACCCCCAGTCTGGGTCACCAGGCAGGACCCACATCATTCTCCAGGAGCATGGAGAGCACTAGGGGAGGGGCTGAGACACAAAGACCATATGTGGGTCCCGACCCCACGCTTGGTCCAGAGCCTGGCTGCCACACAGGCAGCAAGACCGTTTAGGCACCCCCTGCCCCCTCCTCCATACTCCCGACCCGCCATCTTGCCACTCCACAGAGCAGCAAACTAAGTTCTAACTGGCAGCCTGTGGATATGACAGGAACAGGTCACACCAAAGCGCTACGAGCACCTCCAGGTGGCCCCCAGCACCCCCAATCCCACCAAGTGTGCAGTGTTGGTCCAACTCCAGTGGCATCTGAGGTTCCAGCAGCAGCCAACTGGAAGGGAAGCAGGGCTCTCTAGCAGGAAGGAGGCTTTGGGGGGCCTTCCTGCAAACAAACCAAAAACACTGATTGCAAACCAGCCCATATCTTCAGTGCAGCACTGACACAGTTTTTTGTTTTTGAAACAACAACAAAAAAAAAAGTTTGGAGGGCTTGTGGCCATGCAACATCTTATGCTATTCATAACAAGCAATACAAAAGAGAGTATGGGGGAGACCGTCTGCCATAGAGGCAGGAGGAAGAGTGGGATGAGGGGGATACTTTGGACCTTGGTGGTGGAGGATGTGCACTGGTGGAGGGTTGAGTGATTGTCATTGTGTGACTGAAACTCAAACAGGAAAGCTTTGCAATTGTATCTCACAGTGATTAAAATAATAATAATAATTTTAAAAAATAGATTAGCATTCTGAATAAAAATAAGTAATGTGGAGTTCATGCCCAATTCAATCAGCTTTACTCAATGGCTGACTAAATAGCAGTACTCCTACATTAAAAAAAATTGGAAAAAAAAAACCCAACTTAGTTCTGTAAAGAAACGCAAGCATTATTAAATTACTAAAAATAGAAAAAAAAGAAAAGAAGTTTGGAGGGGTCAGAGAGATAAAATGTGGTTGGGTGCCTGCCTCACACACGGTTACGGTCGACCTGGGTTCATTCCCCTGCATTTCACAGGGTTTCCTGAGCACTGTCAGAAGTGATTCCTGAACACAGAGTCAGGAATAGCCCCTGTGCATCACCAGGTGTGGCAAAAAAAAAAAAAAAGTTTGGGGCCTACAGAGTCCAAACGTTAGTAATGGTCATATAAATGGACTGTGCCGTGCAGAGCTGCGTGGAGCCAGGGGAGGGATTCTGCCTCTCCAGGCCTCTGGGTAGGTGAACAAGGGCACTGAGGGCCATGGCAGACAATCTCATACGCGCATCCTCTTCAAGCTGACAGGATGAGACGCTGCATCAGATGGAACCAAGGCTGCACCCAGAGGCACCAAAGTTTACTACCCTCAGGCTGCAGATGCAGCGACCCTTCTGGGCGTCTTTTCACTAGGAGCCCACCTCAGTGCATTTGCAGAGAAAGCCCCAAGGCAGGCAGGTTCACAGTCAAAGACAGAAAGCAAAGAAACCCGGCACAGGCGAGCTGGGGTAGAAAAGAGACGGCACATCGCCCATGACTGTGAGCCATGAATGAACGTGAGAGGGTTAATGTTCTAAGAAAAGGAGAGCTGGGGTCACAGGGACAGCTCATGGGCAGGCACTCACCTTGCACACAGCTGACCTGGGTTCAATCCTTGGCATCACATATGGTTC